CGATTACATGACGAAGTTCAGCCCGGGCTGAAATATAAGCCCGGGCACCAAATTGAAATTGCGCGGGAAGAGTCATCAGAGAATCAGGGGCGATTGAATAAACTGCAACTTATTTACATATCGGCTGAACGTTTGTAGAACGAAGCATAAAAAAACCCAAAAGGATCCATTCTCATTCAAATGTCATGCAAATATGTTACTGGGTATATTTCCACTATAACCTTTTTTCCTTGCTGTTGCCATCTTGTTTAAAACACAGAGTGATTTTACAATAAACTGGCAACTTATTTACATACCATACCGGCTGCACGGGTGTATAAAAACAAAAGGACCATTCTCATTCAATGACATGCAAATACGTTGCCGGGCATTCTACAATTTAGCCAAAACACAATCACTGCGCATGCCCAAGTTCACTTTTCAGCCCGGCTGAAATTCCATTCCGATTACATGGGTTTTTTCAGCCGTTTAGCCGGGCTGAAAATTCCAGCCCGGTTTCTCAAACCGGGCTGGAATTTTTCAGCCCGGGCTGAATTTTTAGACGGCGCTGAAAAACTTTGATCAATGTAATCGCTAACCTCATTTCAAGAGGATTTGATTCGGAAGCCGGGCTGGAAATCTCAGCCCCCTTAACCGGGCTGAAATTTCAGCCCGGGCTGAAATTCGCCATGTACTCACCCCCTAAGTATACATCCAAGGATTTATGCGGAGTTTGTGAATCAGAGGACTCTGGGGATTAAATAAAAGGAAAAAACCCCAATACATATCTGGCACAAACCAGAGCACGCTCTAGACTCTCTAAGAAAAAGAAATACATGGAATATTATTATTAAATGTCCCTGACAGGTTACTGTAATCCTTGTCCCCAGCATGCACAGCATGGTGGAGATAATTGAGCAGAGGAGGCGCTGGGAAAGAATGGGAAGGAGAGGAAAAGTAAAGTGACTTTTTTTCTTATCCTATTTTTATCCTTGCTGTCATTCCCCGCTCATGCTTTGTGCTCATTTCAAGCTCCCTCACATGTTAAATAATATTTGCCAACAAACCTGTACTTCCATCTCCTCTCCTTCTTCCTGACACATTGTTAGCCCTGTGGTTATTTTTGTGATGGTTTCGTCCACAAAACCATCCATTACAAGGAGAACCCATTCACACGGGATGTAGCCCCCCCCCCCCCCCCCCCCCCCCCCCCCCACCCCCCCCCCCCCCATCATAGCTGCTTGTTTTTTACCCACTTTTGTGAGGCAGGAGTTTTTGTCGTTGTGGGTAATCCTGTACACCACACTATAAAACAAGAAAGAAAAAAACAAAGCCATGATGACTAGGGCCTATCTTCACTACAAATGTTGCGCTCAAAGTATGCAAATACTTTACATAGTCATTTTATTTATCAAATCATCCTGGGTTTTATTTATAAAAAATGTATAATCTCTCTCTGGATTTATGCCGCAAGAGTTCTCTACAATTTGACAATGAATCTCCATTTCTCAAAAATCCTGTTAGAAAGTCCAAAACACGAAACAAAATTTAGCAAAGTAAACTACAGTAGGAGCATGAAAGATATCAGCATATGCTTTAACCAGCGATTGGCAAACATGGCCCAATTTATTTCGAAGTAGAAAAATATTAAATAAGTTCCTATAAGCTTACTCTCACTGATTTATCACACCTTCGCATGTGCTTACTAGCTGTTACTAGCCGTGACTAAACAATTGCCTAAATGCCTCACAACGCTAGCTCGAAGCGATGCGTCAATGAACGCATATGAGCAGAGCATCCGAGCAGTCAACTTTAAAAAGTGTTACCATTTTTCCTAGGTGGTTACCAGCGACGAAAACTGTCCAAAACAAACAACCCTTATAAACCACTACAATCTGAGGAAAATTGTTCTATTGGTCTAGAAAATTCTCCATGTCAGAGAAAATAAAACACAAATACATGTACTTACATTTCATGCCCGCCAACATGGCGGCGGCGGTCACGATCCACGAACTTTCGTTGCTCAAATATTCGTTGTTAAAGCTTTCATTTCCTCGCCAAAAACACAACCTGAACACGAATCCATCTTGTTATCTACCCGATTTGCTACACAAAGTTCCCGGATATTGCGCGTAGAGGCTGCGTAAGGAGCTTTTAGAATGAGCCCCAATTTCTCTATATTACTTTCTTGGCGATTTTTGCTTATTTTCGGCAAGAACAAAACGAAATATGACGTCACACTTTATTCCAGAACTCGGTATCCTCCCGGACTGATTAGTAAAAAACACCGTTTATGTCTGATCAATTAAACGAGATGGCCCCCTCCTATACCATGGTCTGGTTGTTGTTACTTATACTAAGTTAGAAATTATTTTGTTGTCGTTTCACTGCAGAGTGATTAGACAACAATTTAAATTTTAGCTCTGAAAAGTGACTGCTGATGGCCTATGGTCCAGGGGACCCGGTTATCAAAAGGTGTGGATAACGCTATCCACCGGAGAAATCACTATCCACTGAGTGAATAAGTGCTAACACAACCGACACTACGCTATCCGCTTGCGATAGTGATTTACCTTGGCCTGGTTATTCAAAGGTTGATAAAGCCATATCCACCGGAAAAATCGCTATCCAGTGGATAAGTGTTAAAAAACACTTATATGGAGGTTTCGTATCTCGTATCGTAACAAAACAAATTACGCTATCCACTGATATAGTGATTTATCCGCGTGGATAGCGTTATCCATCCTTTGAACAATCGGGCCCTGGCCAGGGTGGATAGCGTTATCCACCCTTGAAACAACCGGTCCCTGAAAGGAATCAGTCAGCTACGTATTCTAAATTTAGAGACCGAGAAAATAATATTAGAGTTACGAAAATTATTATGACATCGGATTCGGATTACAGACACAGTATTTCTCGTCAAGTAAGCCCCACTTTTTTTAAAATGGCGCAGTTGCGCCACGAACTACAGGTCGAAGCTCTTTGAACGAAAACTCTTGTAAGCAGAAAGCTACCTTACGGCCGCCTTGGCAAGAACCCTGTTTGTACTCTAGCTTCATACAAACTCTGTATTTACCACATTCCCGTAAGTCAGGGCCCGCTATAGTTGCGGACACTTTTCTTACGGGAGCTTCAACTGTAGTCTATAGTGAAACCAAGTGATTAGTTTCTTAAGAAACTGTTGTGACTTTGTCTAGACATTATATTTTGAGATGATCAAG